GAGTAGTGTTTTTGAAACAACACAACAGAAATGCAACAATTTACAAGATTACTAAAATTTTTGCATAAATGAAAAGTATTTTTTAAACTAAAAGCTGTGATTTACAATAGACTTAGAGTCATGCTGATGATAATCAGAAAGTTAGAAACACCATTCTCTTAATCATAACGTATCAATGAACAAGTTCAAATATTGGGAACCTGAAAACACCTGTGAGTTCCAAAATCTGACGAAACAAAAACAACAACCCTAGGAAACACCATTTATCTGCTATTGCGTGCACATGCTATAACTAACATAGCTGACAACCAACACAACAAAAATTAGAGGGAATGGAAAATAGTCCAGCAGGCTGAAATAGCTATAAATATAACAGCCATTACTAATGTGTGAATATGTGACTGTGTGAATGAGAGAATTGGGAACTTACAGATGAATAGTGAATTCTATGATTTATCACGACCTGTTGTCAGATTCCTAATTGAACCCAAAATCATTCCTGGAGTTGGAGTTTGCCTCGCTGTCCCTGCCAGTCCCTTCACCCAAGAAGTTGGGAAGTATCGGTTTAAGAAACTTGAACTGGCTCTCAGAGCTTTCTGCCAGGTAAACTTCATACTGATAATTCTGGGACAGGGTCCCGGTGCCGCTCATGTCCACCAGATGCCCTGGAAAGGCGCCCGAGGGCACCAAGTAGCGACCCACCGAGGCCGCCCTGCTCCTCCTGCACAGCCGCACCGCCACGAACAGGAGCACCGACAAGAGGAACAGCGACGACACCGAAGCCAACGCGACCACCAGGTAGACGGTGAGCGAGTCGGCCTGGGCTTGGGCGGGGGCCGCCTCCGGGAGCGGCAGGTAGGGCTGGGAGAAGCCGTCCACCAGGAGCACGTGCAACGTGGCAGTGGCCGAGCGCGGAGGCTCGCCGTTGTCCTTGACCAGCACCACCAGCCTGTGCTTGGCCGCGTCGCGCTCGCTCAGCAGCCTGGCGGTGCGCACCTCGCCATTGTGAGCCCACACGCCAAAGAGCCCGGGCTCCGTGGCCTTGAGCAGCTGGTACGACAGCCAGGCGTTCTGGCCCGAGTCGCCGTCCACCGCCACCACCTTGGTCACCAGGTAGCCCGGCTCGGCCGCCCGGGGCACCAGCTCAGTGCAGGGAGCGGAGCCGTTCTGCAGCGGGTACAGCACGAAGGGCGAGTTGTCGTTGGTGTCCAGCACCAGCACGCGCACCAGCGCCTCGCTGCTCAGCGCCGGGAAGCCGCGGTCTGTGGCGCCCACGCGGAACTCGAACTCCTGCAGGGCCTCGTAGTCCAGCGATCGGAGGGCAAACAGGTGGCCGTTGTCTGCGTTGATGGAGACCAGGGAGGCGAGGGGCAGTTGCGGGTCCTGGGGTGGCAGCAGCGAGTAGGTGACCTGGGCGTTGGTTCCTGAGTCTCTGTCTGTGGCGCTGACGCTGCCGATGTGCAAGGCGGGGCTGTTGTTCTCGCGGACAAACAGGTTATAGGAGGTTTGGGTGAAGGCGGGGGCGTTGTCGTTGACGTCGGAGACCCGCACGGTTATGTTGTACTCGGTTTTCAGCCTGGGTGTCCCCAAGTCTGTGACAGTAATGGTGATGTTGTACTCGGCCCAGCTCTCTCTATCTAGCGCTCCTTCCGTTAACACGGTGTAGAAATTTTCTAAGGTAGGCTTTATAAGGAAAGGGAGGTGGTCTTGGATGGAACACATCATTTTTCCATTGTTCCCAGAGTCCGGATCCGAAATTCCGAAAACAGCGACCACTGTTTCTGGGGAGTTTTCTGGGATATCACTGATGAGTAAGGACATGGTAAGTTCCGGTGCGTTGTCGTTTATATCCATCACTTCTATGGCTACGGTGCATTTTCCTGAAAGACCCCCACCGTCTGAGGCCTCAACTTCCATATGGTAAGATTGAATTTCCTCAAAATCCAACGCCTTTTTTAATCTAATTTCTCCCGTGATTGAGTTTATTTCAAAGGCCTGAATGATTTGATTTGAGTATTGAAAAAATGAGTAGGAGAGCTCCCCGTGGGTCCCAGCATCTAAATCCCTGGCAGAGACGGTGATGACGAGGGAACCTATAGGGGCGTTTTCTGGGACCTGCACCTCGTAGAGCAGCTGAGTAAATTCAGGGACGTTGTCATTGATATCTACAATCACTATGAGAACATGGGAAGTCCCAATTCTGGGCGGTGACCCACCATCCAGCGCTGTGAGGGTTAACCTGAGCTGGGGCTGCTCCTCGCGGTCCAGCGCTTGATCCAGCACGAGCTCTGGGTATTTCTTGCCGTCGCTGTGATTGCGAGTGAAAAGGTGGAAATAGGAGTTGGTGCTAATTGTGTAGTTCTGAACTGTGTTGCTACCTACGTCCAAATCTTGAGCTATTTTCAAAGGAAATGAAGTCCCTGGATGGCTGCCTTCAGAGATTTTCAGGAGGATTTCATTTTCCAAGAATTCTGGGGCATGGTCATTTACATCTTGGAGCTGTAGTTCACCTTGAATAAACTGCACCGGATTTTTCAATAACATCTGGAAATGCAGTATACATGGATCTATGTCACTGCACAACTCCTCCCGGTCCAATTTTTCTTTTAGGAGCAAATTCCCACTCTTCTGTTCGAGCTGCAAATACTGTTTATTCCCTTTGGAAAGAATCCGGGCGCCCCTTGCGGCCAGTTCCCCTACACCCAGCCCCAGATCTTTTGCTAAGTTGGCCACAAAAGAGCCGCTGTCCCTCTCTTCTAGAACTGAATACTTAATGGTAGCGCTGCCCGCCTCCCACAGTAGTAATAAGAAAATAATGGCGGTCACTTGCCTTTTCTCTGGTGCTTTGGGGAGCGGCGTCTCCATCATTCCTCAGGGTCCAAAAGATGCCGTATTAATCACAAAATAATTGCTTTACAGCCAACTCAGCTATCTTGATTTAAATATCTTGAGTTAGTTCTTTTTAACATGGACCGACATGGGATGGCTGCCTCTCTGAAACCTTCTATCCCCAGTGGTGAAAAAGTGTTTCCTTTTCCAGCTGCCAGAAAACCCGCACAGCTTTTAAGGAGACACTGATGCTGCAGTTTTTCACTCTTAGCCTGCAGCGCCACCAAGCGTTCTGCTTTACAACTTCAGATAATTTTCATTTCAAAGCACACTGTATACTGTGATAGCTAAAACATAAAGCAGGCCTTTTAGGTCATACCTGTTATATACTCCCTTTTCCCCCGCCTATTATGTGGCCTTGTTCAGGTAGCTAAGAATGGTTGTTACAGCAAAAGTAATGTCTATATCTGTATTCATCTTCCTTATAAAGGTGCAAGTTCAGCACACAAAACTCTGCTCCAGGCAAATTCATTTATTAACAAGTATTTACCTGTACGGACATTCATGTAGCTTCTTGGGATAATACAGTAAATGAAACATAAAAATTCTTGCTCTTGGAGAATTTACATTCTATTAAAAATGCTAATTTGTTCTATTTTACTGGAAGAAATCATGAACTTTCAAAATCTAGTTTCTCTCTCAAATTGCAATGTGCCTGTAACTCCTGAAAGAAAATAAAAATATTGTTTCTTGTTAGTCTCTGGTCTACATAACCATTGTGGGTTTTTTTTGTTGTTGTTGTTTTTTTGTTGTTTTTTTTTTGTTTTTTGAGACACGGTCTCGCGTTGTTGCCCAGGCTGAAGTGCAGTGGCCTCAATCTTGGCCCATTGCAACCTCTGTCTCCCAGGTTCAAGCGATTTTCCTGACTCATCCTCCTGAGAAGCTGGGACTACAGGTGCGTGATACAACACCAGACTAATTTTTGTAGTTTTAGTAGACATGACATTTCACCATATTGGCCAGGCTGGTCTCGAACTCCTGGCCTCAAGTGATCTGCCTGCCTTGGCCTCCCAAAGTGCTGGGATTACAGGCATGAGCTACCATACCTGGCCACCATTTAGGATTTTTTCCTTTATAAATTTATTATGTGCAATGCCCAGTGAAATTTAGAGAAAAAGATGGTTTGTCTTATTAAAAATCAGTATAGGCCGGGTGTGGTGGTTCACACCTGTAACCCCAACACTTTGGGAGGTGGATCACTGGGGGCCAGGAGTTCGACACCAGTTTGGCCAATATGGTGAAACCTCGTTTCTACTAAAAATATAAGAATTAGTCAGGTGTGGTGGCACACACCTGTAGTCCCAGCTACTCGTGAGGCTGAGTCAGAAGAATCACTTGAACCCAGCAGGCGGAGGTTGCAGTGAGCTGAGATCATGCCACTGCACTTCAGCCTGGGTAACAGAGCAAGACTCTGTCTCAAAAAAAAAAAAAAAAAAAAATCAATATAAGCTCAGAATCTACGCAATGTCTTTTCTACAAATGTAAAGAAGACAACAAAGTTGACAAAGTCAAAAATACACTTTCTGGGGAAGGGTATTGACCTGTCTGCATTGGACATGATACCACCCCAGTGTACATTCTCTAGGATTAAGGGGATGGGGATATTGAAAAACACTACTGCTTCAACTAAAAGCCAAGTGACTGGAGTGAGAACAATGGAAGAAGGAATCTCACCAAGGAAGAATGCTGTTCTAAGGAGGAGAGGGTATATATCTGAGAACACAAAACAGTAAATGTTCTCCACACTTATTTAATCAGTTGGTAATCATCCATGACAGTCAGTTCACTTATCTGGACACAAAACACAGTCAAATGTAACTTAGTTCAGCCCAGTTCCACTTCAATTAAGGATAAAAATAAAATAGTTGGCCAGGTGTGGTGGCTCATGCCTGTAATCCCAGCACTTTGGGAGGCTGAGGCGGGTGGATCATGAGGTCAGGAGTTCGACACCAGCCTGGTCAAGATGGGCAAACCTCATCTCTACTAAAAATATAAAAAATAGCTGGGTGTGGTGGCATGCACCTATAATCCTAGCTACTAAGGAGACTGAGGCAGGAGAATCACTTGAACCTGGGAGGCTGAGGTTGCAGTGAGCCAAGATCGTGCCACTGTGTTCCAACCTGGGCAACAAGAGCAAAACTCCGTCTCAAAATAAAATAAAATAGTCACTGAATGGTCATTTTAATATACATTGCTTACCTTTGATAGAAAGTTGAAAGAGGGATTTTTAAATGAAATATCACAAATACAACTGACACAAATAAGACTAAATATGGGATAAACTGTGAAGGTAAATGGTTTTATGGTTAATACAGGCAAATGATGCTTACACAACACTAGTAGGGAAAATCTGATGTTACCAAATAACCTGCCACTAATACCTTATTTAGATTTTGGTAGATACCAAATATCTTGAGAAAGTGAGAGGAGGAGTTTGGCAAATATAATTTGAAAGCCCTTCAACTTTCAAATTGTTAAACAAAGACAAAAAGGTAAACCGTGCGGTTAAGAATTTTATTTTCTGTAGTGGTATGTAGGGTGAGTAGAAGAGTCAAGAGTGTTTTCTGTTTTGAAGGAAAGCAATAGTGATTTGACTAAGAAGTGATATTTCATACTTTCACTCATTGGCAAGGATATTTTGTTGTACAGAGGATATTAGCATTTTGCTGTAGATACAATAGTGTTTTTAAAAATCAGTACTAGAATGTTAGTAATGTTCAGCAAATATTTATTAAGCATTTATAATTGGTACGACTTTTTTTTTTTTTAAAGACCATCATGTTCTTACATGAGGCTCACAAACTAATGTGATGACACTTCAGTAAAGTCTATAGTCACAAAAATTTTGGATTGACTATTATGGGATACTAAAATATGCATAAGTATGAATGGCTACTTTAGTGTTTAGCCATCATTAGTTCTTATTTTTAGTGTTACACACTGTAGGAGTTACTGCAAAATGAGACACTGGAGGATTAAATAATATGAAATACTCACATTTTAAAAACAGTCCTACATAGCAATAGTGAAACAACTCTTACCAATAGCTAGAAATACAATCTTACTTAAGGATTTACAATACTTTTTTTTTGGGTGGGGGAAGAATAGATAATTTAATTTCAAAAGTTTAAAATTATGCAAATAAAAATTTACTTTGTGTTCATATTGTCAAGTACCCTCAAGTGAAGTAATAAACTCCTAAGCATGAACAGGAAATACTAAGACACCCAGTATCTTACTTTATATAAAATTTCAACCTAAAGAATAGAGGTAAATTAAAAAGAAACAGAACATGTAACTTTAAGTTAAAAGAGATCTCCAAACATAAGTAAGATTTAGTAAAATAATCCCACACTTAACTGAATGGGAAGCTATTCGGAAGGGCGGGGGTTTCTTCCATTTCTCTCTCAGTGCCCTGAGGAGGGAAGTTGGGGATAATCGGCTTCAGGAACTTGAACTCATTTGTTCCTGAGCCTCCCATCATACACACCTCGTACTGGTAGCTCTGGGACAGGGTCCTGGTGCCGCTCACGTCCACCAGATGCCCTGGAAAGGGGCCCTCGGGCACCGAGCAGCGACCCACCGAGGCCGCCCTGCTCCTCTTGCACAGCCGCACCGCCACAAACAGGAGCACCGACAAGAGGAACAGCGACGACACCGAGGCCAATGCCACCACCAGGTAGACGGTGAGAGAGTCGGCCTGGGCCTGGGCCGCGGCTGCCTCCGGGAGCGGCAGGTAGGGCTGGGAGAAGCCGTCCACTAGGAGCAAGTGTAGCGTGGCGGTAGCCGAGCGTGGAGGCTCGCCATTGTCCTTGACCAGCACCACCAGCCTGTGCTTGGCCGCGTCGCGCTCACTCAGCAACCTGGAGGTGCGCACCTCGCCATTGTGCGCCCACACACCGAACAGCCCGGGCTCCGTGGCCTTGAGCAACTGGTACGACAGCCAGGCGTTCTGGCCCGAGTCGCCGTCCACCGCCACCACCTTGGTCACCAGGTAGCCTGGCTCGGCCGCCCGGGGCACCAGCTCAGTGCAGGGCGCGGAGCCGTTCTGCAGCGGGTACAGCACGAAGGGCGAGTTGTCGTTGGCGTCCAGCACCAGCACGCGCACCAGCGCCTCGCTGCTCAGCACTGGGGAGCCGCGGTCTGTGGCGCCCACGCGGAACTCGAACTCCTGCAAGGCCTCGTAGTCCAGCGACCTGAGGGCAAACAGGTGGCCGTTGTCTGCGCTGATGGAGACCAGGGAGGCGAGGGGCAGGTGCGGGTCCTGGGGCGGCAATAGCGAGTAGGTGACCTGGGCGTTGGTGCCTGAGTCTCTGTCTGTGGCGCTGACACTGCCGATGTGCAGGGCGGGGCTGTTGTTCTCGCGGACGAACAGGGTGTAGGAGGTTTGGGTGAAGGCGGGGGCGTTGTCATTGACGTCGGAGACCAGCACGGTTATGCTCTGCTGGGTTTTCAGCCTGGGTGTCCCCAAATCAGTGACGGTGATGGTGATGTTGTACTCGGCTCTGCTCTCTCTGTCCAGTGCCCCATCTGTTACCAGGGTGTAGAAATTCTCCACGGAAGGTCTTAGTAGAAAAGGGAGATTGTTCTCTATTGAACAAATAACCTGTTGGTTATGCCCAGAGTCTGCATCTGAAACACTGAAAACTGCCACTATGATCTCTGGCAAGTTTTCTGGGATGGGGCTGATGAAGAACGACATGGTGAGTTCAGGGGCGTTGTCATTCACGTCCAGGACCCTGACGACTAAAGAACATTTTCCTGATAGGCCCCCACCATCTGTAGCCTCAACATCCACGTCATAAGACTGAACTTCCTCAAAATCCAAAGCCTTTCTCAACCGAATTTCTCCTGTGATTGAGTTTATTTCGAACGGTTGGTTGATGTCATCGACTTGAAACAGGGCGTAAGATACCTTCCCAAACGATCCTGCATCTAAATCTCTGGCTGAGACGGTAATAACCAGAGAGCCGAGGGGATTGTTCTCAGGGATTTGCGCCTCATAGAGCTCCTGAGCAAACTCGGGGATGTTGTCATTGATGTCCAAAACCTGGATGTGAATCTCGGAGGTCCCTGACCGGGGCGGAGACCCACCATCCAGCGCGGTGAGCGTTAGCGTGAGTCGGGGCTGCTCCTCGCGGTCCAACGGTTTGTCCAGCACCAGCTCCGGGAACTTCCTGCCTTCGCTGCGATTGCGGGTGAGAACGTGGAAGTGAGGGTTGGAACTGATTGTGTAGCTCTGAAGGCCGTTGCTGCCAGTGTCTAAATCGTGTGCCATTTTCAAAGGAAATATCTTTCCTGGCATAGTAATTTCTGATATTTTCAGGAGCATTTCTCTGGCAGGGAATTCCGGGGCGTGGTCATTTATATCTCTGACTCGCAAGGAAGCCTGAAAAAACTGCAAGGGGTTTTCCAGTAACACTTGGAAAGGTAGCACACACGGCTCAGTGGAGCCACACAGTTCCTCCCGGTCCAGTTTTTCATTTAGCAGTAAATCATGGGTCTGTGGATCAAGCTGCAAATGTTGTCTGTTCCCTTTGAAAACAATCCGAGCTCCCCGTGCAGCCAGCTCCCCCACCCTCAGTCCCAGGTCCTTTGTCAAGTTGGCCACAAACGTGCCACTTTCTGTCTCCTCCAATACGGAATACTGAATCGATTCAGAACCTACCTCTCCCCAAAGCATCAATAAAATGAAGAACGCCACTTGCCTTTTCTTGTTCTGTACTTTAGTTTGCATCGTGTCTATTGTCTGATTACAGAAGAAAAATCCTTTTCAGCTCCCAATCACCACATCCACCGTCGACCCTCTCAGATGTCTTTGCAGAGATTTTTAAATTCGTTCTTACAACTTGTCTGGCGACGACTGCCTTCCCGGACACATCTAGCTCAGCTTTAGCTGTAAATGTGGTCTGTATTTTTACTTGGCTTCTGGGTGAAACAGGGTCCACCGAGTCTGCAGAGCTTTCATTCACTCTCTTAGCTTGTACCGCCACCTCGCGTTCAAACTAATAACTTCATGAGATGTTTCAGGTCAATAGCATTTCCGAAATCTGAGCATTATAAAGACTTTTAAGTCGAGTCAGTGTTTCTCAGACTGAGTGCGTGGACCACATGCATAAATAATTGCTTGCGAGCTTTGGTTTCTTTGTGTGTACGTTTTTGCTTTTAAGCCAATTCCTGGGTTCACTCCCCTCTAGAACTTGAATCAAATTTCCTGGTGGTGCTAATTAAGGAGAAAGATTGAAGTGCAGATTCTACACTTCAATCTTTCTCCTTTGATTCTTCAGCAGTGCAATTTATCTCTGATGAGCCATTTAATCCATGAGTCCAAGAGGTACACTATTTAATTGTCCCAACAAACAATGCAAAACAATGAAGTTTGTTAGCAACAATAATGGTAAAATAAACAATAAATTATCTAAATTATACACTCATAAATGGCATGAACAAAAAACTTACTTTGTTATACAGTTACGCCTGCACAGTAAAAAGAACAATTAGGCTATTAGGAGGGAAACTGAGGCAAAAAAGTATTTATGATACACGTATATAAGTAAATTAAAGTATTTAAAAGAGGGACTAGAAGCAATCAAGTATTTGTCATAAGCATTTTAGGATTCTACCCCATTTTTGCATGGATAGAATTAGGCATTCTTTTAAGAGGCTTGTGCATTTTATTTTAACTTTTTTGATCAAATTCCCCTCTTACGTTATTTAATCAAGTTCCAAATATATTACCCTGTTGTACAAACATGATGCAGTGCAGAAAACAAACATTCAAGAATTACCTTCACCATCTTCTCACAGCAAAAAGAACACCAAGTCCTATAAATACAGGCCAAATTAAGGTACTGTAAAAAAAGGTGAATTACATTTGAGTGAATGCCATGGAATTCGATGATGGAATACTATGGCTATATCCATTCCCATCTCACTAGTTTCTGCTCAGATACATTGGAATATGTATCTCTAAACAAACTGAAAATGTGTGAAACAGATTAGTGCACATAGAAGAGGCAAAATATGCCAAACAATTCAATTCATTTCAGATTGATTTCATATTTATTGAGAGGTGAAATCCATTGAGCTCAAACAAAGTTCACTTCAGGTAAGAGCCAAGGTGATAGAAGATTAAAAATCAGGATATTTTCAAATACATAAACTCTAGGTAAAATAAATAAGGCTAAATAAAATCTAAACTCTAAATAGCTGAGATGATCTTATAGTTCAAAATCACCTCTATGTAGCCAGAAAAACAAAAGATTATGAATGTGACCAGCCTCCGGGGTTCACTTGATAGATGCTACTGAGAATACACTGTTCCTTGAGGATGTGAGTAACAAAATGAACTTATGAAGTAAAACCAACAATAATAAACATCTTGGAAGGGTGTCACTTCTTTGCTGAAACAAGGCCATAATTTCCTGCTCAATCTTAAATGCTTTCTTCTTTCAGTGAGCATTTTGAGTTCTGATTCCAGCTAAACGGCATCCACGAAGTCTTTTATTCACTCACTTTCTCTGAAGCACCGCCAGACATCCTCGAATATAGGTTGTTGAATTATTTTTTACTTCAAAGCAAATTTATCAGCAGTACAGTATTTGTCAAACTCCATTTAGATCCTTGAAAAGTCTTTGATAACATTGGTAGTTATATGGAAAGAGGATAATATCTCAAAATACACAAAAAGATATCAGTCGGGTCTATCAAGATACTGCCTTTTTATAGAAAATGGATTACATTAGATTGTTTCAGGAGAATGTTTCTCTGTTTTGCCCTCTTTTGCTTTGATTTGATTGGCTAGAGTAGACTGAATTAACTTTGCATTCATAAACATGTTCTCATAAGGACTCATTAACTTAAAATTTTTATTATGGAAAAATTCCAACATATACAAAGTAAACAGAATAAGCCTCCGTACACCATCAGTTTTACAACATTCTGTTGTCTCGTTTTGTCTATACCTTTCTCTCCATTCTCTGCTTCCTGTTCAATGATTACTTTTGTATAGTTATTTTCTTAAGGCAATGTTTACAGAAATTGAAATGTACCAATCTTAACTGTGCCATTTTAAAAAATGGATTCATATGTGTAACTCACACTTTTTTCAAGATACGGAACATTTTCATCATTCACTGGGAATCATCTTAATCATATTTTGAAGCTCAGTTTTATTAACTGGGGAGCAAAACCTTGGTCTCATCTGGACACATGATGCAAAAGTAGACAATGTGAAAAAGCACCATGCCCCATATTCTTTATGCTCGTGTATGCTAAAGTGAAGTGATAGATTAATTTAGCTGGACTGTTACCAGCAAGCTGAAATAGTATTTTAACTGATTGGACATTGTAAAGTATGTTAAAATTAATTTTATTTAGTTAGTCTGTAATGACAGGTTGAGCAGCCCTTGTCCGAAATGCTTGAGACCAGAAGTGTTTCAGTTTCAGATTTTTAGATATTAGAATATTCGCATGTACATACTGGGATATCTTGGGAATAAGAACCAAGTCTAAACATGAAATTCATTTAAGTTTCATATACATCTTATACAAATAGCCTGAAGGTAATTTTGTATAATATTTTTAAACAATTTTGTGCATGAAACAAAGTTTGCATTAGGTACTTATGTGTGTAATTTTCTCCTTGTGGCATCAGATTGGCTCAAAAAGTTTCCGGTTTTGGAGCAGTTCCTATTTTTGGATTTTTGGATTAGGGATGCCCAACCTGTACCTGTACTGCGTAGCTGATCAAGCTGATTTCCATTTTATGTTTCAGTTAATCCCATTATAATTTAAAAAGATTATTCAAGTTTATCAAAAGAGAAAGAAAAAGACCTTCAAGGACAAATTGAATCTCTTAAAACTCTTCTTTAGTTATATGGAAAGAAAACACAGTAATACAGGGAAAAGTTAGAGATGATATATAAATAATCACTTAAAGAAACTCAATTTACAGGAGATATGCTGCAAGGAAGTTGAAAATATAAAGGATTTGATACTAAATCACACTTGAAATCTGAAATGATTGGGTAAGACACTTTCTCAGTATTGCTAGAGGTTTGTCTTTTTTTAAAAAATGTTTTTTGAAGAACTAGTTCTTTGTTTCTTTATTGCTTTCTCTATTTGCTTTGAATTTTCTTGATTTCTTCTATTATCTTTGTTATTTCCTTCTTTCTGAATGCTTTGGGTTTATTTTCCTCATATTTTTCTAGATTCTTGAGGTAGAAGCTTGAAACTGATAAACTGGTGGGTGACCGATTTGAGAATTTTCCTCTTTTCTAATGTACATATTTAGTGCTATAAAATTTTCCTCTCTGCACTGTGTTAGCTATGTCTCACAAAATTTGATGTGTTGTATTTTCATTTTCAATTCAGGTCAATGTATTTTTTAATTTCCCTTGAGATCTTCTTTTTGATTCATAGATTATTTAGAAGTATGTTGCTACATATCCGAGTATTTGAAGGTTTTCCTCTTATCTTTCCATTATTCATTTTTAGTTTAATTTCATTGTGCTTAGAGATCCCACTCTGTATGATTTCACTATTAATTTGGTTGAGGTTGGTTTTTCGGCTGAGGTTGTGGTTATCTTACATAGGTTCTGTGAGCATTTGAAAATAATGTGTATTCTGGTATTGTTTATTCTGGTGTATTCTGGTATTTTTTATTCTGGTATATTCTGGTATTGGAGTGTTCTGGTGTATTCTGGTATTGGAGTGTTTTATAAATATTAATCAGATGCTGTTAGTTGATGGTATTATTGAGTTCTTCTGTATCGCTGCTGATTTTCTGCCTTGTTGGTCTATCAATTGTTGAAGGTCATTGAAGTCTCCAATTGTAATTGTGGATTTCTCTGTTTCTCCTTCTGTCAGTTTTTGCTTCATACATTTTGCAGTTTTGTATATATACATTTGGGATTGCTATGTGTTCTTCTTTTATCATTATACAATATCCTGCTGTGTCTCTGATATGTCCTATGCAGTCTCTGATTATTTTCTTTGCTTTCATATCTACTTTATATGATGATTTTCTTTGCTCTCATGTCTACTTTATATGACCTTATGGCTACCCCTGCTTTATTAATTAATTTATTTAGTTAGTTATTCTTATTTTTATTTACTTCTTTATTTTTGAGACAGAGTTTTGCTCTTGTCTCCCAGGCTGGCGTGCAATGGTGTGATCTCAGCTCACAGCAACCTTCACCTCCCAGGTTTGAGCAATTCTCCTGCCTCAGCCTCTGGAGTAGCTGGGATTACAGGTGCCCGCCACCATAGCAGCTGATTTTGTATTTTTAGTAGAGACGGGGTTTCACCATGTTGACCAGGCTGGTCTCAAATTCCTGACCTTAGGTGATCCTCCTGCCTCAGCCTCCCAAAGTGCTGTGATTACAGGTGTGAGCCACTGCACCCAGCTCCTGCTTTATTTTTTCATTAATAATTGTATACATTTTTGTCTTTTTACTTTCAAACTGCATATATCATTATATTTGAAATTAAGTTTGATACATATAATTGGGTCATAATTTTTCAAACCCATTCTCCCAACGTTTTTGTTTTAACTGATGTGCTCAAACCATTTACATTTAACATAATTATAGATTAGTAGAGATTAACTCTGCCATTTTTTGTTTCCTCTTTGTTTTCTCTGTTTTTTTGTTTGTTTCTCCGTTTTCATTTATCTACCTTCCTGTGGGTTATTGGAACATTTTTTAGAATTCTGTTTTGATTTAGTTGTAGTGTGTGTGTGTTTTTTTTTAGTGTATCACTTTTTATAGCTTTTTACTGATTACTCTAGGTATTATACTATATATACACAACTTATCAGTTTACTGACTGATATCAGTAACCGATATTTTTACCAGTTCAAATGAAGCATAGAAAATGTACCTCCCTTAGTGTCCTTTTGCCCTCCTTCATTTATAACATGTTTTAAATATTTCCTGTACATACACTTAGGACCACATTTAGAAAGTATTATAATGTTGGATTCAACCACCAAACATAATTTTGGAACCTCAAGAGAAAAAGAAAAGTCTGTTGTATTTACTCATATTTTTGTTTCCTGTGTTGTTTCTTCCTTCTTGATGTTCCAAGATTGCTTTTTAAATTGTTTCCTTTCTGTTTGGAGAACTTGCATTAGCAAATATTTTAAGGTAGGTATACTGGCAACAAATTCTTTTCCTGAAGGGTAGTTTCACTGGATATAGGATTTTGGGATGACAGTTGTTTTCTTTCAGCACTTAAAAAATATTGTGCAACTTCCTTCTAGCCTCCGTGATTTCTGATGAGGAATCTACTCTCATTCAAATCGTTACTGCCCTGTGGGTAAGGTGTCATTTCTC